TCATTTCTCTTTAGCACACCCTTCTCATTTCTCTTTAGCACAATGTTCCTTACTCTTTATTCCTGAAATTCCTTCAGAAAACATTTCACCAACTTCTTGCCTATTCCATTTTATTTTCATGCACTTATTAAAATTAATTTTTTCCAAGTTAATTCAATTACATTCCATTTTTATACTTACTATGAGAAATTCATGTGACTATAAGATAATTTAACTGCCATTATCTATTATACATACTCAATGGAGATTGAATCAGGCCATGTAATTACCACTTCTTAGTTCCTAACAATCCTATGACAGTCGCTATCATAAAACTTATTTCCCAGTGGGCACCTGAGGTGCTGCATTAGGTTTTGGAAGCATATTACAGTCCCAATATGAAAAATAATGAATTACTATGCAGCGTGTTCCTAAAAATATAATTCCAGATTTAATTTTTCAAATGTCAAAACTACTATATAGAAAACTGACACCATTTTTAGCTTCTTGACTTATTGAAGGGTGTATCAAAACCTCAATGCCAAATCTTTCTCTCTTCCAGTTTCTCTTTATAACCACGATCACATCATTTAGATAAATCATTTCTTTTACTTATAAATTGTGGATAATATTATATATGATCCTTATTTTCTATATGTCATATATCAACTTGTAAATTTCACAATATATATGGTTTCAAAATTAATAACCACTCCAGTTTTCTCTTCTATTAAGTCAAGACTTAAAATAGATTTTCAAAATCTGAATACATCTGCATTTTGAATTCTTTAGAGTAAGTTAACATATTATTGAAATTCTTGACAGGACTTTTAATCATTGCAGATTCACATAATAATTTTGTGAATGATATTAAATAAAGGATACTGTTCCTTTTCCTATGTCCTTGACTTAAACTTTCTAATGTGATTAATAAAGTATATTTCACGAGGCTTTTACTCCAGTGGGTAGGATATGTTAGCAACTGAGGGAAAGGAAGGAAAGCTTAAAAAAAACAGAAGTCAAGGAAAATTCCCACTTTCCATGTGAATACTCCTTAGAGGGTCAAGAGATTAACAAATACTGAATGTCCCCACTGGAGATGAGGAGCATGAATTTGCTCTTAAATTGACTTCAGAGTAGAGATGCCAAAGCAAATAAATCACTGCAAGTGACTACTTTAAAAGGTAAATGGTCTTTAAAAATATGCATGTAGGTTAAATTTTTTAATCGGTAATATTCATTACTGTCAGGTATGATAAGGGCACTTGTCCATCAGAGGCTGGAGAGCTCCTCCAGGTACATGATTCATTATTTCTAGATCAATGCCTAGTGCAGCAGACACCCCCCAAAATGTTTCTGAATGAAGAAAAATAAGCTCAAGTTTAAACATGCTTCACCTAAAACAGAAGTATTCATTTGAACAAGAAGTGCCACAAATTCTTAGATTCCTATAATCCATATACATTTTTTATCAATAAGAATTCACAAATGATGAGCAAATTTGAATGCCTATCTGACCCAGATATTCAAGCCATTAAAAGAAAAAATACAGAACCAACTTCTATTTCCTAGGATGCCTTGCCCCTAGCCAAGTTCATCCTCAGAGACACTCTTTCATTTTGTATTATCATTGTGGTATTACTTACAATCCTCAAACCATCTATTATTTTGAGAGCCAAGTACAGGATGCCTGTAATCCCTGTAACTGTGGGGCTGAGACAGGAGGATGGCAAGTTCCAGGCTAGTCTCTGCAACTTAGAGAGACCTTCAGCAATTTAGAGAGACCCTGACTCAAAATAAATTAAAAAATTAAAAGAAGGATTGAGGGTGTAGTTCAGTGATAAAAATCATCATCATCATTCCTGGGTTCATCCCCAAACAACAAACAAAACCAGCACTTGTGCAGATCACATTTCTCTATCCCCTTTTCTTTTATGGAAATCTTCTGTAACTGAGGTAAAAAGACTTCAATCACCCCTGCAAACACCCACCCCACCACCACCAAGTGAGTGGAGTCAGTTTTGGATAGGTAAATATGGAGGATAAATAAGATATAACCTAATGGTTTTCCTCAAATTTCACTACATATAAAACTCTGATCAACAATGGCTTTATCAGACTACAAACAGAAGTTCCCAGAACATTCATGTCACTCAGGCTTTGATCAACCAGAAAGAAGTCACCGAAGTGAACTTAACTTATCCATATACCCAGTTTCCACAATGGAAATGGCAATCTCCAAATCCCAAGTTAAGGGAATGGCAGCACTTGAAAAATGAAGCCACGACCACACAATTAAGAGGCAACAAGAGTGAAGCACACAAAGTGTAGAGGGGGTGGATCTAGCAGTCTGCCTATGTCCAGGAGGTGGGCGTGGCTCTGCCTCAGCTTCATGGATTGGCTCTGATGTGGTGGGTCTCCTCAACAGGGCAAACTTTTCAGTTGTCCCTGCAGGATATACCAGATCAGAGTCATCCTGTACTCCAAAGGGAAAATGACCCTCAGGATGCCCCTCTCCTCCAAGTTCATTTTTAGAAACCTCCAGAGAGATTCAGAAAGTACTGGACTAATCTAATACCATGGTGGTTGCTAAATAGTAACTTGGCTGAGAGCAGAGAAGGGTGAGATGACAAAAAGGGTCTGAGAAATGGAGCAAGTCAGAAATGACTGTTCTGTTAGACTAGAAATGAAATACAGCCACTTGTACTTTGAAGAATGCCACTACCAGTGATTGTTTCACTGATAGCTAATAAAAAGAGCTAACTCATTGTATGCTTACCATCAGCTGACACTATTCCAAGGGCTTTACATGCATTATCTTATATAATCCTCAGGACAATCCTAATAGGTAGAAATTACCATTGTCATTCTGATTCCAAAAGAAATGAAAACCTAGAGTTAAGTAACTTCCCAAAGGAATTCAGCAAATAGTGTCTGAGCTGGGGCTCAACACTCTGCACAGTGTTTATACATCTACACTTTGCCATCTGCCTCCCTTTCTTTCTCTTTCCCTCAAAACTTGGAAGACTGCCCTGTGACCAACCACAGCCAATGTGGTGAGGGCAAGCACTGTACATGCGTGAGACAATGCCAGAGCCTATAGCTCTGGCCCTAGAGGGATGAGAGGTGTTCCTAGTCTGATTTCTCAGAGAACTCCTCACTAGTCTCAGGTCTCTCTGTTGAAAGAAAACGCAAGATTACAAGTACCATCTGGGCCACATGCTATGAGCAAATTTCAAATGAATCCTAAATTATAAAAAAAGAAAATCAGAAAGATCAGAGACCTGGGATATATGCAATGCTCCGACCACACTCAGGGAGCTTCCAGGACAATTAAGCACATCATATCCCATAGGAACTTTAACTCATGAAATTACATATTTTGTATGTTATGCCATAAACATTACAACAAGTTTTTCCCTCATCTAATTTGCTTCTTTGGTATGGGACTTTTTGGAGTTGAAATAAAAGACAGAAGACACATTAAAAAACAATACTAAAAAACACTCAGTGAAAGGATTTTGTTCCTTTTTTCTTTTAATTTGCCTATCCTTAAAGAACAGATCTTTCCTCCCCGCCCCAGTATGTTGACAGCCATTGAGGTGATGAAAATACCCAGTATAGTGAAGAGCTATTTTTAAAATCACTTGATTTAGAAAACTCCAATCATGTTAATTTCATGGGAATTCTTAGTACACAAATTAAAAGTTTTAAATTACTCTGCAAGAATCTGTTAATTCAAATAATCTTAATTAGAAAGTACCTGCATTGATGCATATTTATCAGGTGACTTTAATGTCTGTCCCTGATAAAAAATTATTTTGAGGGTTGTTTTATGAGTTATAGTTCCATGGTCACTGATGGCAGTAATGATGTAAGATGAAACTAGGAATCAGAAGTGTGGATTCTAGTCTCTCTTGTTGACTCTCTGGATTTGAGAACGTGTTTAACTTCTTAGCCTGTTTTCTCCTGTCCAAAGAGGAATAACAATTCCCACCTCAAAACATTATTTAATGGCTCAAATGAAATGCACATGAAAGTTTAGTTGGCCACAGTCACTGTAATATAACATGGTATTAAAATTGCAAATCAAACGTGGGGCAGCAGATCTCAATTAGAAATTGCAGACAGTCGGGTGTAGAAAGGAATCAACCTGGCTGAATGTTTGTCGATTCACTAATCTGGGCCAGTCCCGCCTGGGTTCCCTCATTTGAGAAATGATAACTGCCCCATAAGGACGATGTAGGGATTAGAAATAATATCTAAAAGGCTTCCAGCAGGGCAGGCACATAGTTGGTGCTCAATAAATGGCACCCATCTTACATTAAGGAATTCATTGAATGAAGCCAAGTATGCTACGTGTTTCAACACTCACTCCTAACAGCTGAGCACTGTTCTGCTTAGAACAGTACATCCATTAGCAAAGTCCCAAATATACTTCTGCCAGGGCCAGAGCCCTGCTTACCAACCTTAGACTCCAGTGGATTAAGGCTGTTCTTGTTGCATTCGCATTTCCTGCCTTGAAACATTATTTCATAAAACCTACTAATGGAACCTCACTTAACACAATTATACTACCCAAAGTGGCAACTTCAGCCTTTTCCCTAATCTACTTTGATTAGTTAGATGAACTTCACTTTTTGCTACTTATTTAGGGACAGGGGTGGCACCTGAGGAATCAGATAAGGAACAAGTCAAAGTGAATCTGCTGTTAGCTCCTGAGGCTAACAGCCACAATTTGGCCACAACAAGCAGCCTTTTAGAGCGCCTGCCCAGCTCCAGAGCGTTCATCAGTCCCCTTGGAGGCATTGGGAGCGACCTGCAGAAGGGCACGGCTCCTATCGCGTCCAGCCTCACCCCAGGGAAAGCCAAGTGTGCCCCGCACTAGTCACCAAGCAGAGCGCGAGTTAGAGGAGTGGAGCTGGGAAGGGCGCATGCAGTTGGGTTAGTCTTAACTCGACCATGCGGCTTTGCATTCCTGTCTGGCAAACGCGCTTAGGCAAAACAGACTCGATGCTTACAATGATCCCAGCCCAAAATGGAGTGTCTCTGACTAGCAGGGAGGAGCTGATGCTCGCCATGAGGAAGCCCACCACGGTCACGGCGATGCCCAGGGCCAGCTGCAGCAGGGCTAGCAGCAGTGGGAACCGGCAGCCGCAGCACGTCCGGGCCTCCTCCTCCCCGCACTCCTTGGGGGCCCCTTTGCCCTTCTTCGGCCCCATGTCGTCGGGCCTGGCGGTGTCCGCGGCCGGCGGCCCCCCCTGCCTCTGCTGGCCGCGGGGCTGCTTGTCCTTGCCCATGGCGGCCGCGTGGGTGGGTGGCGGGGTGGGAGCGTGAGCGGCGCCCTGGGCCGGGAGAGCGGCGCAGGGCGGGCTGAACCTGCCCTGGTATTCGAATTACGGAGGCTGAACAAATATGGAAAACATTTGGAGCCGACTCGTGGAGCCTCCAAAGGCCGCGGGGAGCCCGCGGCAGAGGGGGATTCAAGGGGGGTCGCCAACTGCCAACGATCGGAGATGCAGCGCCTGACGGGCCCCGGGGCGGGTTTCCCATCGCCGGTGGGAACCGGCGCGAATCTTCAGGCCTCCTAAAATCTGAGCACTGTAGACAGGAGTGGAGTGAGTGAGTGAGTGAGGAGTGTGTGCATGTGTAGTGTGTGTGTGTGCGCGCGCTCAGGGGCCGTTTTCCTCACTCAAAACCCTAGGTTTGTTGTTGTTGTGTTTTTGTTTTCTGGGAGGTGCAATGCAAAGTGATGAGTGTCTAAATCATTTGAGTTTAATTAATAGACAGTTTAATCCGAAATAGGCTTTGCTGTGCTCCAAGCTGTGAAGTCACTTCCAGAAGTTAGATTGATCTTATTTTCCAACAATGGACTCTTCTAAATTCTATAATCCAACCAAAAAATAAAGGTATTTTCCCCATTGAGGTATTTGCTTTTTGAAAAATTGTTTGTAGAGATGGTGGGCTAATGGTGAATTCTCCATTATTTTTAAAAGCTCTTATAATAGTGTATATGGGTCAGGGCCATGGTGCACACTTGTAATCTTGTAATCTTAGCAAGTGGGGAGGCTGAAGCAGGAGGATCACAAGTTCAAGGCCAGCCCCAGCAACTTGGCCAGGCTGTAAGCAACTTGGTGAGACCCTGTCTCAAAAAATAAAGTAAAATAATAAAATAAAATAGATGGAGTTCTCAGGCAGTCTTCATTTAACTAGACAGCAGTGCCTAGGGAGAGAGTCTACCCTAGAGAGGGGCAATTTTAGCCAGACAACATGTAAAAGTTAAATTTAAGCACCTACAATGTGCTAGGATAGAAGGGTGTTGGCCCCAAGTCACAAAGCAAATGAATAAAGCTGAATTCCTGCATACCTCTACTCAGTAGTGCTTACAGCAAATTTCAGTGAAACCACTAAGAATTGATACCATCACTTCCAGGTATTTATATGCCTTTGGTATGGTCATTTTAACATCCAGAAACCTGCAAAAAGAAATGATTTGCCAAGATGGGGTAAATTGTTTTCAATCAACTAACTTAAAGAAAATCTAATTTCCTGCTGTTTCCTCAGAATTATTAAATTATTAAATTGTTATCAGCTCTCCTTATAAACTGCCAACTCCCCCCAAAAGTACCTTTGAGAACATAAAATATATTCTTCACCCTTACTTATTTTATTAACCTCAGTGTTTTTCTTATACCTTCCTTTTGGACAAGTGAGAAAAATATGGTCCGTGGAACATAGAAAGCCAACTCACTACCTACAATTAATTATTCATTTTTATTAATAATAAAGCTAGCCAGACACGGTGGAGTATGCCTCTAATTCCAGAGTCTGGAGAGGGTAAGACAGGAGAATTACAAGTTCGAGGCCAGCCTCAGAAACTTAGTGAGACCCTGTCTCAAAAAATAAAAAGGATGAGGAATGTGGCTCAGTGGTACAGTACCCTTGGGTTCACTCCCCAACACCTGCAAATAATAATAATAATAATAATAATAATAATAATAATAATAATAAAAAATAGGGACAATTACTGAATATTCTGTAGCAAGCACATTCAGTGTTTCATATTACTTCCTTATAAGCACTTTATGATTATAGTTTTCATTGTTAAAGATGAAAAATATTGATTATCAGAACTAAGTAACCAGATTGTGAAGTCACTCACCTAGGTAGGGGTAAGAATCAGGAAAACCAAATGTGAAATCCAAAGTCAGTGGCCTTGTGGAGTACTTATTTTGTTAATCAATTCCTGTATGTACACTGCTTATGGACAAACAAGTGGGTGGACTGTTTAAATTGTTTATGACGTTAAACAACTTATTTATCATAGGTGTTATTCTTTCTATCATAGAATCATCTGTTATCTTGAGCCTAAGGCTATCTGAGTACTTTACAAAAATACCTTGATGTACTACCATAATATATACAATAGTCAATTGCTATGATTTGAATAAATACTCCCCAAATGCCCATGTTTAAATGTTGGGTCCTCAGCTTGGTGCAACTGGAAAGTGGTACAAAGCTTTAAGAGATGGGGCTTAGTCAAAGATGTTAGATCATTGTGGTTGTGCCCTGAAAGGGGATTTAGGAACAGGCCTCTTCTCTTTCACTTCTGTATCCTATGGTAAATGAGTGTCTTCTGCCAGGTGCTCCTGCTGTGATGTATTGTGCCATTACAGGCCCAAAGCAATGACACCAATCCAGAATAGACTGGAACCTCCAAAACTCTGAGCCTTTCCTCTTTTTCTGTTGATTTATCTTGGGCATTTGTTATAGTAATGGGAGGCTGACTAACACATCGGTGGAGATCATTACTCCTGTTTTAACAATTGAGGACTAGATACAGGCTCTATTTGTTGATGATAATGCTGGGTTGGCATTTAGCTAGGAATAAAATATCACTATTCTATTCCTTAAAACATTAAGTTTGATGTTAGTTATAGTAGTTAAACAAGAAAATAGGGTACTCCTGTACATGTCTTCTAAGTTTCAGAATTAGAATGATTTAAAGTTGTGTATATACTAGTCTCCCCTTATTGGTGATGGGTATAAAGACCTTCAGTGGATGCCTGAAACTGCAAATAGTAGCAAACCATGTATACACACACACACATACACACACACACGTACACACACACACTGTTTTTCCCTATACGTTCCTGTGATAAAGTTTAATTTATAAATTAGGCACAGTAAATTAATAATAAAATAGAAATGATTAAGATAATTACTGCAATAAAAGTTACTTAAAACTTATGAATTGTTTATTTCTGGAATTTTCCACTTAAAATTTTCAAAAATCAAAACTGTGGATTCGGAGGATAATTGTGTGTTTTTATAATAAAGACTTACTATAATTGCCTAGCTGAGACTAGCTACAAATGAAACCAGTAACAGTGAACAACATCCCAGATAAATTGTAATCCTTTGAGTCTGATTATAACTGCCTAGTTCAGTTTTCAGCTTCTAGCAAAGGAGGCAGTAATGTACAGTTCTTCACTCCTGCTCAGATTTCCAGCAGCTTGGATAAACCCGTGTTTGAGGGGAATCACCCTTGGCAATATCACAAGATAATAGTGGTGAGGATGGCATTTTCATTCGAATGCTACAGGAAAGTCAAAGAAGAAGGTGAGAAGAGTTGTTGTCAAATGGTTAGTGATTGAGAGCAGTCAAAGCTCCAAATGAAATTAGACGGTCATTAAGGATAGAATGAGAAAACTCTCCTTTCTACTGGTAAAAATCACCTTTCTAGTTCATCATAGATTTCACAGAAGTAAACTGGAGCTTCTTTAGTATTCATAAATTATGATGTCAATGTTTTATAGGGTATGTAATAGCTTCTTCATGCACTTATTTTATTGGGGGAAAAGGCAAAGTAGAAACAAAGTGTTTTCAGATATTCTTGTTTATTCTCGGAACTCAAAATTTACAGATTATAAACTAGAAATTGCAGTAGAGTAGTTAACACGTAGTTTGAGATTATTTTGATTCTCAGGGAAAAAATTTAAATTAAACTTAGTACCTCTATCTTTTTAGTATATTCTCAAATTTAGCATTATTTTGAAGTATTTTTGCCTCAGAAACTTAGATTAGGGAAGATAACAACTCTTTTAAAAGTAATATCATTAACAAAATGTCCTTAGGAAATCCAACTAAAAATAATCTAAACTAACATTTCTGAGCACATAACTTGCATTGGCCAAGAACAACAACAAAAAAAAAGATTTCAGAAAGAAATTATTAAAGTTCTAAAGTTCAAGTTTAAGTATATCAAAAGCATCCAATTAGATGTGATTTAAAGGAGTATCAAATACACTGCAGAGAATAATTGGGAACTTGTTTGTCGTATTCAACACCGTTATCCCCAAACATCTCACTGGACTCCATATCTAAAATGACTCCAGGGTTAATGCTGATCCATGTCTGTGCCCATATATACATGTAGAAAAGAAAAAAAGAAAAATTATCATATAGTTTTCCATTTTATTTTTTGATATCATTAATTTGAAATGTGTCTTTAGGCCTATTTTGTTCTCAAAAGAATTGACCCATTTATAATTTTTGCATGGCAGTTTATATTTTTGAGTTAAATATCATGTAAGCAATGTTCTCTTTATAGTCAACAGTTGGCTTGGGATTTTTCTCATCCTATGAAATTCTTTAGAAGTGATGATTATCAATTATTTCATCATGCATTTTACCTATGTACAAAATTTGCCTTGTATTTATAATTTCAAATTTTTCAACATGTAAATTTAATGTTTTGACCACATATGATGAGGTATTAATAACCAAATTTATCTTAATTAATAAATGCCAGAATAACAGATAACTATATTATAATATGTTTGACAGTAGAAAAGGACTTTCCAATAAGAAAAGGAATGAACTATCAATATAGTCAATGACTTGGATTAATCTCACTAACAGTGTGCTAAATAAATGAAACCAGACACAAAATAATACCTACTGCATGATTCTATTGACATAAATTTATTTAAAAAATCAAAGATAATCTATAGTAATAGAATTTGAACAGTGATTATGGAGTTGAAATGAAAGAATTGACTGGAAAGGTCTAGAGAGGATTTTCTGAGCAATGGAACTAAGTCTTCTGTATCTTGTGTGGTGGTTGCATGGGTGTAAACCGTTGTCAAAACTCCATGAAGAACATTTAAGATCTGTGCATGCTGTATGTAATGACATCTTGATTTAAAAATATATAATAGAAAAAAAATACAGGGAGTTGGTGATATCCATCAGCAATTAACCGTTCCATAAATGGAGATAAATTTAAATTCTGGCCTAAACTCTCCTCACTTCTTTCTTGCCCTGGTGACTCCTCTGTATTAATTATCTATTGCTGCATAATGAATCACCCTAAAACTCAGCAATTTGA